GCGGTGCTGGGCGCTGTGCTGCTGTGGCTGTGCTGGCGGGCGGCGGCGGAGCGGCTCCGCTACTCCATGGCCGAGGAGCTGCCCAGAGGCTCGCTGGTGGGGCCGCTGGCCCGGGACCTGGGGCTCAGCGCCGACGAGCTGCCGGCGCGCAAGCTGCGGGTGGCGTCTGCCGGCAAAAAGCAGCTGAAATACTTCACGGTGAGCGAGGAGAACGGGAACCTGTACGTGAGCGAGAGGCTGGACCGGGAGGAGCTGTGCGGCGAGTCGTTGTCCTGCTCGGTCAGCTTCGAGGCGCTGGTGCACAACCCGCTCAACGTCTTCCGTGTCGAGGTGGACATTCAGGATGTGAACGACAACGCGCCGCGGTTTCCACAAGACAAATTCCAGCTAGAGATCAACGAGTTGACTTCTCCCGGCGCCCGGTTTTACTTGGGCATGGCCGAGGACGCGGACGTGGGCAGAAACTCGCTGCAGGTCTACGAGCTGGAAGCTAACGAGTACTTCGCGGTGGACGTGAAGGAGAGTCAGGACGGTAACAAGTTTGCAGAGCTCGTGCTGCGCCACTCGCTGGACCGAGAGAAGGAGGAGAGCATGCGGTTCGTGCTGACTGCGCTGGATGGCGGAGACCCACCCCGGAGTGGCACCGCCCAGCTCTGCATCAACGTCACCGACGCGAACGACAACCCACCCGTGTTCGCGCAGGACCGGTACCGCGCCAGCCTGCGCGAGGACACGCCTCCGGGCTCCACGGTGCTGAACGTCTCCGCCTCCGATGCCGATGCCAGCAGCAATGCCCACATCACCTACAGCTTCGGGAAAACGCCTGCAAAGGTGCTTCAGAAGTTCTTGGTGAATGCAGAGAGCGGGATGATCACGCTACAGGAGCCCCTGGACTTTGAGGACACGCGCACGTTCAGCCTGGCAGTGGAAGCGAGGGACGGGGGCGGTTTAGTGGCGCACTGCAAGGTGGAGGTGGAGGTGCTGGACGTGAACGACAACGCACCCGAGATCACAATTCTGTCGCTGTCGAGCCCCGTGCCCGAGGACGCGCCGGTCGGCACCGTGGTGGCCCTGCTCAACATCCATGACCCGGACTCCGGCGAGAACGGTGAGGTGTCGTGCGAGCTGTCGGGAGAGGCGCCGCTGTCGATCGCGGCGTCATCGGGCGGCTCCTACAAGGTGGTGACGGCGAGCGCGCTGGACCGCGAGCAGGCGTCCGAGCACCGCGTGACGGTGGTGGCCCGGGACCGGGGCAGCCCGGCACTGTCGAGCAGCACGGAGCTGGTGCTGGAGGTGTCGGACGTGAA